ATTCCAAAACTGGGTCAGTTTTGTTTTTTGTAAGGTAAAAAATGAGATGATGACATCCCTTATGCCGTTCTCATCAATGGGAATCTTCCTGGAACACTAAAATGTGAATAGTATACTGAATTTCCGTTTCCACTTCTTTTTGGCATTGAAAGGACGTTTTTCGTTCCCGTCTGTCCTCATTCACTATTTGCGGAAGAAGCTGTCAAGCACAGCAATCAATTCATCAGTGAAGCACGGATTGCAATCAGAGTTGTGCCACATTTCTACTTGTACCTATCAGTTGTACTTTATCGTCTCGCTTTTTCCTGATAATTATCGACTGATATATATGGATGAAAATAAATAGAGTTTTTGTTTCTTTAGGGATTAAGCTAAAAAGTTTTTAATAGGATAAAATCATATGTCACATTTATTATAAATTGATATAAATTATATTCTGAGATGTTATCTATTAGTTTAAATTTTTAAGTAAGATGATCTTTTAATATGATATTAGAACTTAGTTGATAAAGAAATTCTGATTTTAAGTGTAATGATAATATGAATCTGTATAAATTTCAAATTTAAATGTTGAAACTTTCACTTGAAGAGATATGTTAAAAACTAATATAAATTATATTTTATAACCTCATCTATCAACTTAAGCATTTTTTAAATAAGATATTTCTTTAATAACATTTTCAAAACAGTGAAAAATTATATCCATGTGTGAGTGAAGTATGTTAAAAAAATATCTTGTCAAAGGAAAAAGGGGACCGCATGGAGTCATTTAATTGGTCCTCCGCCCACTGTATTCATCTGTGTGTGTAATGGCTTGCGATCAGTATTCTTCCAAACGAACCTGAGTTGGCTTATTTAAATTCTCTCTTTTTTGTTCCTCTTTAGTTTTTGCATTTTTCCTTCAAAGTCCCAAGTGCTGATATTACAATATTGACACTCCAATAATTTACGTATACCTTTTGTAATTTTAACCAAAGAAAAAAGGAAAACGATATCTTCAATAATGCAAAATCAATATCAATCAACAATCGCTTTGATTTACATCCCCTCTTTGCTACATCAAGTATATAGATAAGAGCCTTTCAACAAACTGTGACACCAACTAAGCTGATACCCCAATGATTTGCTTTTCAAAAAACTTCCAATTAATTAATTAATTAATATCAAGATGGTGTTTATGGGTTCTAAATATCCACTTTAAAGAGTACGTATCGGCTACAATAAACCAATACTCCAATGAATATGTTTTCTGTTTAGTTCTCAAAATAACTTTAATTAAACCTTTCCAATCAAATAATCTGGGAAAATTCATAAAAAAAATTATTTTTTTACAATCTTCATTAAATATACTCCTAAGGGAAAAAAAAACTTAATTAAACCAAAAATAATAATACAAAATACAGACATTCGAGAGACATCCATCCATATAAATTTAACACAAATATACTCCGATTTATACTTACAAAATAATTGTACAGATTAATATAATCTAACAGTTGCGCGTATTTTGTATTTTTTTTAATAAAATAGTTTTGAGACTCAACAATTTCGAGTTATTTAGTTCGGAAAAAATACCTTCTCCACTCAAATTTTAAAGTACCACCCAGTAAATAAATAAATATAATAATTACAACATAGCTGAGTCTTCAGTGCCACACAACATTCGACAGATTCAGTGAACCAGAAATCACGGTCTTCGATATGAATGATCTGATATTTTCCTGCTCAAATTGGAGCAAACAATGTGTTAGATATTTCGTCACATCGTTGCTATAATAATTACTGACATCATGTACGAAAGCGAGAGATTGAGACTTGACAGAGTCAGAAGCCACGTGCTAAAAAGAGTCGGCATGTTTATTTGCTGTAGGAGTTGGTTAGAAGGACACAATCAAGGAAAAGAAGATGTTGAAGAAACTAATAGATTTGGCCTTGATCACAGCCTACAAGCAAGCTACCAATTATTTGTTTTTTTCTCTCGTTGAGCATTTTCCTTTGACAAAACGTCACCTGAATATATATTATCCGAGAATCTTCTACCTCTTCCACTTATATTGTCTTGTGTTGGCTTTATGACTTTTTGCAACGTTTTTAAAATATTTTTTTCTAGCTTTTATCATCTTTATTTCTTTTGGGAATCCTCCACTAGTCTCCAACCCATCCACCGATCTTGCTCTCATTTGGATATCTAAACTAAATGTTTTCTCAGTTGGGTTCCTACAAATCTTTGTTTTTTTTTTTTTTTTTAAATTCACACACCTAAGATTCATAGAAAAATCAGTCTATAAAAATTTAAATTTATAACTTTTTATTGTCATATATTACTACTCTGAACTACAAGCTATTTGGTGGATTCTTAAATCTTGAACACCTTCATGTCTATTAACATTTTCATTATTTTAAGCAGTAAAATAACGTCTTTTCAAGATAATTTCACATTTTTCGTTACCTTGCCGTGATGGTTTTAGCAGAAAGAACCCAATCGAGAAATGTCTAATACACTGGATATGAAATAGATGAAAGTTATTGCTTTCATATGAAATTGAGAATCACGTAAAATAGGGCTTCTCCTTTTCTTTCCGCACTTTGGGACCTGCACCACCGTCGACCTCCTCCCCCAGCCACTTTTCTGCGAGCTTGAAATTGCCGGCTTTACTTTTATTTTTATATTTGGGCTGGTCAGCCTCATAGGCCTGGAGAAGCAGGCCCAAGCGAGCTGAGCTGGCCTGGCCGCACAGGTCTTACCAACTAGGCCCAAGAGGCTGAAGCTTGCCAAGCAGGCCTGCACAGGCAGTCCAAGCGAGTGGGACTGCATGAGCAGCCCAAGAGCTCAGGCCAGGCTTTTTTTTCTTTTTCTTGTTTTTTTCTTCGAACCATATATATATATCATGGAATTGGGTGTGAAAATTATAGAAAACATGTAGTTTTTTTTTTTTTTTAGTTTTACATACAGTTTGACGATTCTGAAATATATATGATATGTTTTAATATTTTAGATTGAATATATATATATATAAGATTATATTACTTTTATTGTTTAAAATTTATTTATTTAATTATTTGTTTCTTATCGAAATTCTTATCAAATTAATTTTTTTATCTATAATTTTATTTATTAATAAATTTATATTATATATATGGATTTTGGAATAAAATTTTAGAATGCGATTTTTTTATTTTTTAATATATTATTATAATTTATACGATGGATTTTTTATGATTTTTAAATGAGTGGAGTAGTTATATATATAATCAAAATTATCATTATAATAGTTTTTATTTTAATATATTGACTTCAATGTGTTTCATACAATTTAGATAAGTTTTTTTTTTGTATATATATATTTTTATTTATGCTTATATACTCGAGTCCGTCAAGTATGATCATAATGTGTATGTGTATATAGTTTTGTTAAAAATTAATTATATATCTACAAAAATAGCATCAGTTATTTGTTATTCATGTTTTTCATATTTTAAAAGCTATATTTTTTAAATAAAATAATTGAACTAATGTTTTGAAAGAACCTCCCAATTATTCAAATACAGATTTTCATGTTAATATTATTGATTATTTTATTAATAAACATATATAAATCAAACAATTTCGTCTAATAAATAAATTTGATTTACATTACTCACCAGAAACAAGATTTATACCACTACCACACCACATGAATTTTTAATTCTATACTTATAACGGATGTCTATCTATAGTATAGCTTGGATGTCCAACTAGTTACCTTACTAAATAATTAGCAACAACTCGAGCTGATACAACAGATCTTTGTCTGAGGAAAGTCTTAAGTTATGGAGGAAGGTGCGGTGTCCTAAATGTTCCATTAATGTGCTTGACTTGCAACGTTAATGGGTCTTCTCTGTGAGCAAGCAAACGAAAGTAAACATTACATGCTCTTTGATTGCAATTTTGTCAAAGAAAATAAGGATTTGAGGTGTTGAAGTGTAGCGTCTACATGCAAGTTGGGATCAAGAATTTGCCTGGGCTAAACATAATTAATGTGAACTTTGGTTTTGGGATCCAGAGAATCTCTTGGTGTGCTTGCATCTATTTTTCATGTTAGGAAAGAAATGCTAGACCGCATAATAATCAGTGGTCTTCTTCAAGAAACATGATTCAATCCACCGCGGTTCAGTGAGAAACAGGGTAATAGATTAGATCGTTCTCCTCTATGTACAGTTGATATGAGACAGCCTGATCTGTTTGAGATTTGCTTAATATTAATTGTCTTGAATTCTTCGTTTCAGCTATGTAACAGGGACTAGCTCCTGTTGTCATCTTCTTTTTCACTTGATAAATGAATTCATTCATCGGGGGAAAAAGGTCTTAGTAGGCAAACTGCCAGACGAATCGGATGCCGCACGACATACAAGACCCATGAGGATCCCTATTACATAGACAGTTTTGCATTGCGCAAAAATAAATATTCCAACTCAATCGAGTAGTGTTAGAAACAGCTTACCCAGTAGGAAAAATTTTCTACCAACCAGAAAGAATGAAAAGATATCTCTAGGTTTAAAGACTTTGAACCTTTATACTCCAAAATCCATCGGTCAAATTAAAAAATGGGTTACGATAGGCAAAGCCAGTTAGCCACCACTGCGTGCAGTTCCAAATCCTAGCTGTACATGCAGATCACACACGGTGAACTCCAACAATTAGCGACCAGATGTGTTTCACACGTATAGCTAGGATCTACAACTGCACCCACCATGGCTGAACTAAGAAAATTCCTTCAAAGATAGCCACCTGCAATTCATTAGTGGCACCGTTAATGTTAATCATATGCTCAATAAACTATCATGGAACAAAATCGAAGACATAGATTACTCGGTGCGAAGACTCTAAAATTAAATCAACATTCACTTAGATAAGCACTAATCCCACAAGGAGCCTTAACACCTCAAAAAAAACTACCAGTGCATTGGAAAAACATCAGTAAGAGATAATGAGGTTGATCCCCCAACAAGCTTTACTTCTGTTAGTGCCTAGACTTCTTTGTGCTGCAAGAAGGGCATTTGTACTGCTTGATACTTTCTGCTTTTGCTGGTGTTATCTTCACACATTTTCCATGGTACCATCGTTCACAAATGTCACAACCAATCCAAAACTCATCAGCATTGTAGTTCCCTCCACAGCTCCCGCAAAGGGTGTCTCCATGCTCGTCTTCATCCTCCACATAACTTAACTTCGAATTATTTCTTGCCTGTCCATCAATTGACCTCTGAAATATAATAGGTCAGTTATAGATCCAAAATTAGTTGATAAAAACAAAGCAAATGTGTTTATGGAGCTTAAATTTGATAGATTAGATTGCTTTCATTGATCAGAGAGAAAACAATTCACCTTTGTGCTATTCTTGGATTTGCTACCACCATCCACACTAGGTTTATCTTCTACTGGTTTCCTCCCAGTCACAATTTCAAAGAGGGTGGGCAGATCATTCATCATGCTAAAAAGTCGCTTCCTGTGGCAGAAAAAAAGGCACATAACCACTAAATTATGCTCACATGAAAAGTCATCATTGAAACCAAAGGCTTAATACACAAAAAGACACACCCACCAAAAGAGGAAATTATATCAGAAGCATAGTGTGTGAATAGTGGTGAGACCTCAATCTTAGTCATTTGTGCAAAAAGTATCGACACAGAAAGGTGATAATCAAAAGAAAATTGTCAATGCAAGCCAATATAAAAAAAGCTATCAGCTCTATCACAGGGTTCTCAGTATCCAATGTACAGCAAATAAGCTTTTCCAACACTACTAGTCATCTCTTCTAGTAAGGGATGAAAATTCCTGCAAGCAGAGATGATCATCAAGGTCTGGGATAATAAAACAATTGCACTGGAGATATGTATGCACCCCCAAGAAGATCCATATTTGTCCAGTTTTGAGCTCACTTTATTGAGGATATGCCTATGACGATATTTACATCGTAGGCAGGATGAATCCAATACATCACCATTCTCGCAATGACATTCACTTGGACATGCTAAAGTTTAGACAAAACCAACCTAACTTAAACTTGAGTTCACTCAGTACCATTTATGCCTGTAATCGTATTCATATTCATATCTCAGGCAGGCTAACCCAAAGACCAGAGTAACATGCTAAAAAGGGGGTGCATTTGGGCCATAGAGCAGCCATGTGCAATCCAACAAACTCTTCTCATTGCCAAGCACACATATCAAACAGAAGATACCCTTAATTAGCACAACTGCAAACAATACTACAGAAATGATAGCATAAGAAGACCCGTTCATTCTTTCACGCATTTCATTTAAAAAATTTATTAAGAAATGAATAAAAGAAAGAAAGATTGCACCTCAGTACTTAACAGACACTGCTAAAGTGCTTCTGCATAATTGCAAAACTGCTAACTTCAATCCCAAAATATCAAAACAAGAAGCTGCGAATTCCAAAGGTCAAAATTCCTTCTCAACTAATTAAGATTAATTCCACACTGACTATATTGAGACAATACTTATTTCTTAGAAGATAATAGTATCAAAACTACAAGTTAGTGGCATGGGGTGTGACTTCTTGCATCACTTCCAAATCTACAGTTCTTAACTGACCAATGCAACTGAACCAACAAACAGAGTGGTGAGAAAAAGCAATACATGCTAAGGATGAAATATCATAATGTGAGAGATGAATATCCTGGGAAAGCTGATACGAAACCTACATCCACACTCAAATCTACTTCACATAAAAAGTACCATGAAAATCAACTATCCTGTTAAGTCCCAGTTTTACTTCCCTTTCATCTATTTCATTCCTCTCAATGAAATAAACACAGGGAACATGCCTTTTAGATCAGGAGATGTTAGTTAAGCACACGAAATATCACATTTTCCCCACCATGTCTCAAATTGCAATTCAATTTTAAAATATCATTCTGAATGAATGGTGCAGTCAAATCTGATAATGGTGTTCATAAACTTAAGAAAGCTATATATCTCAATACAGCTTATTGTTTATGTGCTCAAACATGCATTTACAGATTCAAAACATTGTCTTTACATGTAACTGTGGAACATTGTTGAATCCTGTTAAAAAGGAGTATCATACAACAATGCTACTGAGAGAGCTGAGATGTTTGTGAAGTCCAGATCAATTCCTTTGCTAAACAATTATATATATATATATAGAAATGCATTTTATAAATTAGATATGTCAATTCTAGAACGTTAAATTTCTCACAGTCCTCTCAAAATTACCAATCACAAATTGTAACAGAACATTTCCTTTGTAACAGTTTTCTTAAATTCCCTCTGAAGCGCCATTTACGTGTAACAAAATATTTACTTTCACCGTTTCATGTCTTAAAATGTTTTATTGAGATTACTATCCTTGAGTTTTCCATCGTTTACACCCCCATGCACAAAAATTTCTTGGCTAATAACCAAATGAAGTTTTGAACTTTAGTAATTTATATGCATTGCACTTTATCTTAATAAGAAAAAAGGATACGTTATAGATACCAAGTACTATGCTTCAAAGATTATCTACAGATTACAAACTTTGTGAATCCCTCCCTAATTTCAAGAACTTCAAGCTACTACTATAAGTAGTTAAATTTTTTACATAAATTACACAACACAAAGTTCATAAATCAGAACACCAAACCAACACAAAAAACAATTTGCATCACGCGAAAATTAGTGCAAGTACAAATGTAACCTCTGAAATGTGAATATTAAAAACCTAGGCTTCCATTCAATATTTGCCAACCAATGCGAAAAGAAATCAACAACCAAAATTAGAATGAACAATGTACCTTTCATTGCGATTAAGTCGAGCACCAAAGTAGAATCCCACAGAAAGCAACCAACAGTCACTATGCACAGCAACAAGAGAAAGCCAGTCTTTCCGCGTCATCCCATCTCTGGCAAAATTAATTCCCAGTGCAGGCTCAGGAAGTTCCGGTGGAACTTCCTCCGCTGGCAGAGTCACCTCCCATGACTCATTTGGATGTCCATACAAACACAAATTCTCTTTTTCTAAGTACATTGTATAAGGTCAATTTCGGGTAATCAAAACAAACATTAGTGAAAAATTCAAGTAAAATCACAAAGAACTAAAAGATTAATAATAACGAAAATAGGTACTCCTAGGAAAGAAAAAAAATTATTTGTTTGGTACCTGGATCGCATTGAACGTAAACTTCATCAGCTTCTGATGAAGGAAAAAAAACAACAACAGCAACATCAACATCAACACAAACAAAAAACAAAATATATACATGCATGCGAAGATTAACAAATAAATTAAGAGATTTAGGGATTTGATATGCAGATACCGATAGTGAGAGCGCGAACAAGGGCAGAGCGACGGGAGCTATAATCTTTGAAGATCTCTTCTACAGTGCGAGGGGACGCCATACATAAGTTAATTAATTATGTTACTGCAGGTAGGTAATTTAATTATTGGTAATGGATCGGGTATTTTGGTTAGTTAGTATTTGGATAGGAGAGAGATGAAGAGTATCAATGATAAACACAAGCGTTTCTGTTGAGGTGGTGGTGGTTGTTGTTGTTGTATTTTTTACGAAGAGACTGAGACAGAAAGAGACGAAGGGGAAAGAGGATTTTTTCTTTTCTTTTCTTTTTTTTTTTTTTTTTTGGTGTCAGTTTTGGTGTCTGACACGGCAGGCTGAGGGAAAGGGCAAGGGAGGATTTCTATTTTAGACTAGGCTTGTTATAGGGTTTGTTTTGAATAGAATGGACTTTTGAGAGGTTTGTTTTATTGGGCCGTTTTAATAGACTTTGGACTTTCAAACCCATTAGTTTAGCGTGTTGTTCATATACACACAGACACTATGCTGGACAAAACAGTCAAAATTATTGTTCTGAAAACATATTTCTCATTATGTATTATGTTTGGGATTTAAAAATATTATATTTTCAAAAAGTTAAATGACAAGATATCGAACCCAAGACCTAAGTGATTTTATTTCTTTTTATATTAATGCATCATAAACTACAACTTAATTGGATTCAAACTGATTTAAGATTGTGGTGAACCCTAAGTAATGAAACTCGAGTTTTGAAGTTCTTTATAATTCCGTTTCTCTTAATAATGAATTACTATTTGTAATTCTGAAAACAAATTCTCATACATTAATATTAATAATAAATTAAGAGCGGGAAATGGATATCAATGTTTTTGGTCTCCTCCAAATCAGCGAAAGTTATTCTTCTAATTAATGTGATCGAAATGCGATTTTTCTCATATTGGTATCTGCTGCTGCTAGGATAACACAAACCTAGGCAGAAGTAGAAAAATTTGTACTTCAGCTGGAGGAATCAAAGCAATGAAGAAATCTAATTATGTATTTAACAAGTAGATGACATAATATCACACAAGCACTAACTGCAGATTGTACATAATACACAATTTACGCATACCTATCCTGCAAAACCCCCTAAAATTAATGGGATTAAGAGGCTAAACAAGAGCTACTAGATCCTAAATGCTAAATTATACATCTAAAAAATACAAGAAAAGGTATCAGTTGATCATAATTTTTGTGGGAAGGTGAACTCCGGGCATGCGCTCTTCCAAAAATAAACCCTTGCAGGCAACAAGTTTCACAATAGAATTTGCTCTCAGGTTGTACCTTCTCAAAGCTTCAACAAATCCCCAACAAAGAACTTGCTCAACCCAGTTCTCAACCACTCTCTTTTGATCGGATAGATAGGTAGCTGCAAGTAATTGCTCCATGACTTTTGGATCAATATCTAGCAAACATTCCGAACCTACAATCTTGTGGAAACATTCATTAACCTCATTCAATATTCTCTCTGCAAGGGCATCAAAATCAAAAGGCTTGAAAAACACTCTTGCGTCCAGTTGTTCAAGAAAATCTTCCAACCAAGCCTTGGAGTTATCGGATGCACGATCATTATCAGAGTTTCCATCATCAGTGTCTTGCAAATCATTCTCTTTGGCAGGAAGGTTCAAATCTAGATTTCTAGCTGACGTCTTGTGAGCTCGTTTCACCATCTCTGTGATTTCTTGGCAGTATGGAATGTGATTTGCACCAACCAGCTTTCTTTTATTCAAAAAGAGAGAACTGCAAATGTCCTTTCTCATTGTCATTGGAGTAATAATTTGGCCCATTTTGTCATCAGCAGCTTGTTCAATTAATATCTTCATCGGCCAGTCCTTGGCTCCCAATATTCTCTCCTCAGAATAGGTGGAGATTGAAGAGCCAACTTTATCCCCTGTCAACGTTGAAGTTGTCACGAATATTGCATTGCTGATTCCAACTTCTCTCCCATGGGAATCTGCAAACTTACCAGTCTGAATTGCGTGCGACAAGCTCTTCTGAGCCTGCACATCAGCCTTGTCTATATTTTCAAGAAACACAATAGACAAGGGCTTCTTGCACAGCTCCCCGGCAACAGAATCAACCAGAGTCTTCCCCCTAAACTTTACAGTGTAGCCACTGACCTCTGGGGGGTCAAAGACCATGTGGGTATGGATCATCCCATCTTCACTACTTAAATCTGCACAAATAAAGTTTTCCCTACTTCCATATATGATCTCAGCAAGGGCAGAAGCAATTTTCTTTTTCCCACACCTATCAGGTCCACAGAAACTGAACCATATATCCCCCCTGTGACTTGCTCCGTGGCGTATCTCATTTCTTGCCCTGCAGTGAGCTATTGTTTGGCTAATAATGCGTATAGCTTCATCTTGCCTGCCAACTCTTTCAACAACAGCTCTAAAGAGCATCTTGGCATTACTAGGATCAAACTGCCTGCCGTAATCAGGAGAAGAAGATGATGATGATTGAGCTCGACAGTCAGAGATACTCCCATGCACAACACCAACATTTGCTGAAAAGGAATGTGGCAAGTCCTGTGGAAGCTCCATGTGGTTTTGATTTAAAGTTTTCTTCAGTTCATTACTTGTAGAAACAGAACTTATTCTCAAACCCAAATCTGTGGTCACAGAAGTCGCAGATGTAGGAGATGCTTGACTACCATCAACCATGTATGAATTGGAAAAACTATATGGAGATCTGAGGCCACCCGACTCAAGATCTTCTTCTTTTGAAGGTTTTTCCCATTGCTTGGATAGAATCCTCTCACTCCTAGCCTCAGAAACAACTGGAATAGGGGAATCTAACTGCTTTGTTGACGACTTCTGTATGTCAGAGGGAATGTATGAATTTACATTCAAACATCTGTTCCCATTTGGCAGTGCACTTGTATTTTTGCTGCTGAGATTTTCAGCATTTTCCTTTTCGTCTTCAACCAGTTGAAAGCCCACAACAGTTGGAAACTGAGGGGAATGGATGTTTGAACTAGGTGGTTGGGTGTGATGAAGACGCTGGCATATACCATCCCATTTCCTTTGCAGACCAGCAACTTTGGCACTCAATACCATTCCATCATCTCTGGTCTGCACTGAAAAAGTATAAAGTGGTTTTTACATGGATATGGCAAAAATTCTTATTAAGTTAATTCAGTATGTTGAATTAAATGTGCTATGACAATTTTCCCTCCATTCGTCCTGCAAGAAAGAATTGCTTGCCAATTCTTGTCCAAAACACACCGTACAGTGTGCAGCATAGCATTGACTTTACACCAAAAGGATAGAGCTAGTTAAGTTTATGGTTCCTAACAAAGTAGTTGGTCTTACAATAAGGATCCCTGCAATCAGATCATAAATATTGGAATTCTAAACATGTTGGTCCATATATTCCATTTCCAATGAGGCCAGATGGAAGTCAGGTTAACTACATATGGATCCTATATAGTGATTCAGAGGTTTACAAACCACAATCTATTACACAAATACTTAGACCACAGCTTGGTCATTTCCAACTAAAATAAAAACGCATATTCCCATTTGGAAGTTAAAAACAATACACACCTTAGCATCCAGTCCCTTGTTTGTGCCAATTTCAGCCATCTGCATCCATGAAGGTAAGCTAGATTGGTACTGGTCTGCTACTGAACCAATGAATCCTCCCTTTGAAACAGAAAGTGTTTCTTGTTCGCACTTCTCGTTGCATAGATGACAACGAGATAAATATTGGTATGAACTATTTAAAGGGCCATTCACGTCAGAAGGTGTAGAGAAGAGCCCACCGAATGGAACAAATGACTCCATCAAGCTGCAATTACAGCATGAAGATGAAACTGTCAGAATAATAGGCAAGAAAAGATTGGAGGTTAAATGAAAAACACATACACAAGCGCAAAGCCACCATATGGAAAGCCCACATGTTCACACACAAAGGACTTTCCAATGATAGGGATTTTTAGTTCTTTAAAAACATAATACTTCAAGGATGAATTATTACTAGAGTTTTTACCCAAACAAGAGTTGGGTGAAAGAAATTGCTATATGCATAATTCAACTTATAGAATGAAAATGCTCTTTAGTGCCAATTCACACAGTTGAAAGATCAAAAAACAAAAATAAAATGACAAATTGTTGGCTAATTATTGTGGGGGCAGAGAGAAGTGCCCATGGCAGTATGTGAGCATCTAGCGGCCTACAGAAATGTACTCACCTATGGAAGGTAAAACTTTACCTGAGACTTTCTACAAGAAGCACAGATATGCACGACATAAAGAAAGCCATGGATGAATGATACCGTGGCTTAAGACTCCACTGGTCTGGCATGAAAACTAGCAAAGCAGGGAGAGAGAGCAAGAGACTCCATGACCATCAAATGGAACGCAAGAAAGAGTTAAAGAAAATTTATGAACGGAGATCTTTTTTCCATAACTAAAAGGTATCTGGGAGTGCATATTTTAAGAGATTCATGCAAAATGATCCTCTTAATAGCCTTTAATGGAAAATGTCGCTAAAAGTCTGATACTTCTTTGCTACTAAAGTCATGCACGATTCTGCACAAGTAATACCCTGGACTAATCTTATGTCAAAAATATTTTATAACATAATAGCATCCAAAGCAGATAAACTCACTTCAATTGACAATCCTAACCAGGGGAACTCTGGTAACGGATGTGACCGAGGCAAAGAAAAGCACCATTATCATATTCATAAGCTAATAGAAAGCAACCAATTGCAATGCACCTCAACTAACAAATTGATAAAATTAAAAAGGGACCATTTCCAAGAGAAAGAGGCTACCATATTCAACTGAATTGTGGATGTCATTGAGTTATGATAAACTTATATGTAAAACATCCACCTCAACTAGAAAACGAAAGCACATACCTACTTTAGTACTCTGAAGTGCTGAAGGCATATTTCACAAGTACATTAGAATGACAAACTCAACATAAAATCACCTAAATGCATGATGCGATAGAAAGTTCCATTGATCTCCAGGTAGCGTATCTCAGAAAAAGGATATGCCCAAGACAACCCAGATAAGGTCATATCACCCTAA